AAGTACTGAAATTTGATTTTTCATTTTCCAGGCCTGGAAAATACTGGAATTTCATTTCAGATTCTGGAAAATACTGGAATTTGCAAATAAATAAAAATAGGTTCCCTGAAGTTCCAGCTAAAATATTATTGATCCCACACCAAGAATAGATACAAGTTGAAGAGTATCTCGACAGACAAGGCTGTGAGATTCGTGATTATTTTTACGGTGGTTATTAGAAACTAAGGGCGTTTTCCAGCTAACGCTACGCGATTAGCGTTGAACGGTTTCTGCAGTCTCTTGTTTCCTCCGTTCTGATTGGCGCCAAGAGAGACCATGCCACAGTCGCTTGTTTCCTGCGTTCTGATTGGTTCTCCAATCACGTGACCGTCTGTCATGCGATTGGAGAACCAATCACGTGAGCTCAGTCACCGGGCTGGCGGGCTCAGTTGTATTCGAAACTATTTGATGTGCGGTGGCAGCCTTCCCTCTTAAGCGTGCAATTTCTACATTGCCATGCATGGAAAGTATAAATTTCATGACTCGTGGTTAAAAATAGAAGCTTATCGTGACTGGCTTGCTCGCCATCCCAAGCATGAAGGTATGGCGATATGTACAGTGTGCTCGAAAGACTTCGATGTGTCTAATATGGGGGAATCAGCTTTGAAAAGCCATGCCAAAGGCAGCAAACACTCCAAGTTAGCTAAGCAACATAGTGAAGTGAAAAGCAAAGCGCAGTTACGCGTTTCCTATTTGTGGTCTGCTGACAGCAATGCAACTGCAGTTTCTTGCTCCAAAAGTGTATCAGGGAATAGTCCGTCGCAAAAGTCAGCAAGCATCAGCACTGCAGTGTCTACTGCCACTGTGAATGTGGAGACTGAGAGCAGGCCTGTACGTGTATCCACTGCCAAAGCCAACCCCAATGCCGAACTAACCAGCTTTGTAACAAAAAAGATGTTCTGACGTCTGAAATTTGGTGGGCATTGAAAATGGTGACATCTCACTTTTCTTTTAAAAGCAACATTGGGATAAGTGATTTATTCCGCCTCATGTTTCCTGACAGTTCAATAGCTAGCAAGTTTTCACTCAGCGAAACTAAGGCAAGATATATCATCACTTTCGGCTTGGGATCTTGCTTTTTGGATATGCTGAAGCAAAGTGCTCACGCTGCTGATAACTTTGTGCTGCTTTTCGACGAGTCACTTAATGGAGAACTTCAAAAGAAGCAGCTAGACATGCATGTTCGCTTCTGGAGCGATGGTGTGGTAAGTGACAATTTATACATTAGTCTGTGTGTGTGAGTGTTATTTATTTTGGGTACCTACTTTTATAGCACAAAATAAAGTTATATATTAAAATATAAAATAAACTTATTTATTACACATTCTTGCGTGTAAATTGACACACATGCATTGAAATGTTGTTTTTGTTTGTAGGTTTCAAGTCGCTACTTTGGATCGTCCTTCATGGGTCATGCCACAGCAGAAGACCTAGAAAGCCAGATTATGAAACAGCTTGAAGTCCTTGAGCTAAAGAAAGTTCTGCAGCTGTCCATGGATGGACAAAATGTGAACCACAAGCTGCACAATCTCATTGATGTGAGGATTTTTTTGTTATTTTTTATATTGTATACGTCACTATTTAGTGTATGAATATTGCAATGTATACTTGATTCACTCATGTTTGCTTCTATTAGAAAAATATTTTTATAATTCTAGTGTTTTTTAATATAATTTCAGAACCAGATGAAGAATGACCATGGATGTTCTTTGCTGAACGTTGGCTCGTGTGGATTGCACACAGTCCACAATGCCTTCAAGGCAGGACATGCTGCTTCTGGGTGGGACTTGGACAAGTGGATGTCATCAATGCATTGGCTCTTCCATGATTCGCCAGCCCGCAGAGAAGATTTGCTGAAGTATACTGGAGCCGAGTATTTTCCTGCACATTTCTGTGGACACAGGTACATTTAATTTTTTGGGGGGTTATTGCTATTTGTATTATATTCAGTTATACATGTAATGTAGTTCCTAATAAATTTTTGGTTAAGAAATGATGTGGCTGTACAGTGTTTGCTTAATATAACAGGCCTTAAATTATGGCAGTTTTGTACTTATGTGGTTTTTCTCCATTCTGTTTGTTCTGCCTAGATGGCTGGAAAATATGCCTGTAGCGGAGAGAGCTTTGGAGCTGTGGCCAAACATCAAGGAATTCATTCATGCAGTCAAGGGAGGAAAGGTCCCATATCCAAAGAATCGATCTTTCAAGACATTGCAGGAGTGTGCTGAAGATCCCCTGTTTGAGGCCAAGGTGCATGCCTTCATCTCTGTGGCCAGGGTGGTGACACCTTTCCTGCGCAAGTTCCAATCAGATGCCCCACTGCTGCCGTACCTTTGCTCTGACCTGCAGTCCATGATTAAGAGGCTCCTTGCAAGATTCATTACTCCAGACACTTTGGATGGCCTGGGCACCATGGCAAAACTGGCTTCATTGAATCTGACTGACAAAAGCTTTTTACTTTCCCTCAATAAGGTTGATGTTGGTTACATGGCCAGGACCGTGATAAAAAAACAGCTTGCAGACAAGAAAGCAAGTGCACTGCAAGTTCTCACTTTCAAGACACAAGCGCGGGACTTCATGCAGGCTGTAGTCCAAAAGCTACTGACAAGAGCCCTATCAGGTATGTCCTTGGTAGGAACCTGAGATGGCTGGTGCCAGAAGTCTTCATCAAGAAGGACTGTAAGGAAGCCAACAAGACACAGTTGAAGAAAATTTGCTTGTTGATGCCAAGAGATTCCCTAACACAGAGGTGGATGGTGTAGTGGATGAGATGTGCAACTTTAGAGATGAATCACAACATTGCAGTGAATTGAACGCACAGTTTCAAGAATTTTCAACTTCTGATCGACTGGACACTTTTTGGCATGCCATCCTGTCAAAGAGCACCTAAAAGAAGCTCTGGAATGTAGTGCAGATGTTCATGCTCCTCTCTCATGGCCAAGCCACGGTTGAAAGAGGGTTTTCGTTCAACAAGGAAATCATGACGCAGAACATGAAAGAACAAACGTTGGTTGCCCTGCGTGCTGTGGTTGATCATGTTGCACATGTTGGTGGCCTGAACAAGATGACCATCACCAAGAAGATGCTGCTTGCAGCTGATAGTGCCAAAACAGCCTACAATAATTATTTGGCAGAAGAGAAAGAGCAGAATGCGAAGGCCCAGAAAACCCAGAAGAGGAAGGCTCTGTTGAATGAGCTAGATGAACTGAAGAAGAAGAAAAGGCGTACGGAGGAGGGCGTCAAGGCGCTTGAGCAAGCAGCAGATGAATATGCAGAAGCAATGGAGAGAAAGGGGGATTTGAAAATTATCGCAAAGTTCAACGCCATGAGGCGATCCTTGAAAACAAAGCAACAGGAGCTAGACACTCTTGAACTGAACATTAAAGAAAAAGTTGATGAAATAGCTGCCAGTTGAATGTTAGGGTATAGTGGTGTTGAATCGTGTTCTGAACTTTATTGACATTATCATGTGCAATATTGAGTGCATTATTCAATATTTGTTGTGATTTGACACTATTGAATTCATAATAATAAAAGTGTGGGCTTGATTTCTAGATTTGTGTCATTTTTGATCCTCTGTGTCTGCCCGCTCTATGCATTTACACGTTTGCTAGTTTAAGTTATCAACTTTGGGAGATGATGGAATATGCACGATTACTCTTTCAGTCATGCTAAACCTGTCGTATACGACTCCTGGAAAATTATACTGATGATCATGGAGAGTCCTGGAAAAGTCCTGGATTTTTTTTTCTCAATATCGGTACGCACCCTGAAGGAAGATGGTAGGAAAGGCTGCAGAGTGAGATCTAGATATGGTATATCGCTTCTTATTAGTATTGCCAGGCCACCACCCACTGTTCCATCTTCTCTATGCTTGTATATTGTTGTATAGTTAATAAAGTTGGGCTCATATCTGTCTCTTATACACATCTAGATGTGTATAAGAGACAGGTGAGTCAGAATGGATGCTCTGGTTTGCTGCATGTTTTATCGCTAAGCCTGACGGGCCGGACACGAGTATTGACTGACTCTGAGACATGTCTGAGTCTGCATTGTCATCAGTCGATCCAGATGAATGGCTATTACTTTTTTTTTCTACGTTTCCCCTTTTCCATCTTCCTATTCCTAAGTTAAGTGAAAGTAACCTACAAACTATCGAATCAGATACAAAATTGATTAGTTTAAAGAGAGCTACTCACGTACGTCCGTCTTTGACGAAGTCTCCGATCGTTCCTCCGGTAAAAAGTTGGCAACTCTTCCCTCCAATACATACATTAGTCGTGTATCCGTATCGACAAATTTTGTAATGAATATGTTCCAAAATAAAAATAAAAATTACATAAACTTTTGCAGAAAATTCTCACGATTTCACCAATACCAACAAAGTTCTCGAATCCAAACGGAATGATGGGATAAACTGCTAATCTTTCACGGTGTATGGCAACATTGTGTTGACTGTTGACATTAGACAAGACGGTCAGACGGTGTCAGACAACTTGTTTTGGTCTTGTAAAGTTCAATTTCATAATAAATAGATTTGATCCACATTTCACAGTGACATTTAAATGATGGAAAATTGTTTCAAAATTTAAACACCAATTGATACGCTTCTAAATACAAATTTATTCATGTTTTTGCCCTATAATGTTGAATTTGTCTTAATAACTTCACTTCAAATCCTGAATGATTTTGTCTCCCATGGCGAGTTTTCGAACGTCTTGTATCTTTTAGAAAACGTTGGTTGTTTATAAGCTGGTTGTAAGCCAGGGTTCAGAGGGTGGATGCAGCATCGCCAATATATGGGTTTTTAAGCCATTAGCGTTGCCGTGTAATTTTAAGATGCGTCGCCGGGTAATTTTTAATGAAAAGCCATTTACGCTGAGTAATGAAAAACTATTTACAAGCCACGAACTTATTTACAAGGTTGCATGCACGTGTTACCCCAAATAACTAATTTTACCCTAGAAACAGTCAGATTGTACAGCAAGTGTCAACTGAACATGTGATAATAGTCTGACCGCTCTAATGTGACCGCAACTTTGTAATCATAAACTTGATGTTTACATTTTTTTTGTGGGAACTCATCGCAACGGATTTCCGGACAAGCTTCACTGCATCCTGATCCATCCAACATACCGGATTACTGGAAACCTTACTTTTTTTTAAATAGTTGGCCGAAGACAGACAAATATATTAAATGCAAGAATTTAAATCTAAAAGTGTCGGCAAGATCTTCTGAAGGCGTAAATTTTGCTACTGAAGCGTCGCCAAAGATCTTGCAATATTCATCCACTCTCAGCACAGTGGGTTGTAAGTGACCCCTAATATTTTTGTTTCGTGTGTGTGCAGGATCGGGGTGTTGTAAAGCAGTAATTATTTTATTTTAATGAACCAAAGAAAGTTTAGTCATCAAAATGACAAAATCATTAAATTTGAAGTATTAAGTTATATGAGTCAGATCATCAATTATCAAAGAAGCTGTAAGAAAAAATCATTGTTTTTGATGTAAAAGAATGTTTTTAATTTAAAAGAAATGCAATACTTGATTTTCAGAAATATGATGCAAAAATTAATGATCCCTATTAGAATTCAACAGATGCGACTCATCCAGAATTAAATTGAAAAAGTTGGTACCTATTTGAAATTTATGATTTTACAAATTGCTTAATTGAACACAGTGCAGAAATTCAAGATCACCTATGAGTATGAATTTGAGTCTCATGACTGGAGATCTCAAAATTTATTGTACTACCACGTATGTTTGATACATAAGCTTTTTGTCCTTTTGATGAACAGAGTTTATTTAGGTTCTATTGACTGTAAAAGGTAGAACGATGCAACATATTTGCGGCCATCCAACCGCCAACGATCGGTTGACGGCTTTGACTCTTTATACCACTGTACAAATATTGCGGTGGACACATCTTCCAGGAGTTTCAATGCAAAGATTCTTATTTAAAGGATAATAAATCGATTCGTAGTTGTTTATTCAAATTACTCCCACCTATAGATATAAATGAACATTATTCAATTTATTTTAAACATTTTTCATGAATTCACATTAAAATATATATTTTGAAATCAACCATGTCAAAGTAACAAAATAATTTGTTATAGTTTTAGGCTTCCGAAAATATTTCAAATCTCTATCAGAAATATCATAATTAATCATTCTCTTGCATTGAGTATATTAACGTTATGAACCGTGCCATCGCTGCCGCAGTCATCATTCATTTTCGTAGTTGCATGCCGGGCACCTGCTTTCGTTGTTCTATTTAGTCTCGCTCCCATGAATTGCGTGTTTAGTGTGTGCATCATGGAAAAGTCTGCTTGACAGCGTAGTCACGGTAGCTGTAATTACTTTATTAAGTTTACTTCTTTGCAGTCATATTAAGAGACACACTTTAATGAACTAATACTTTGTATAATTTTAATTGTTGAGTGGAAGCTGTGCCTGCAGCCTTGCTGGCACGCAACATTTCCAAGTGAATTACCTTATAGAAACTTAGCATACCCATACGTGTTTTAAGCCTATAAGAAGTTCATTTTTTTTGCCTCAAATAATGTATCGAAAAACTGGTGTAGGTGTATCGGGAATAATATATGAACCGTCAATATTAGAATTCCTTCCTGCTCCCAAGTCCCAAGTTCATTTTTGAGTCCCATAAGTAGACCAGTAAAGTATCATGGATACCAGCATTATCATACTTAAGAAATTGATTTAAACCTCAAGTAAATGAGAAATTTATAAATAAACTGATTCTAAAAAATCTCTGGTTTGTCACTATGCCAGAGCAGCCAGACACCTTAAGGCTTGAGGACGTAGCAAGAAATAAATGGCTATAAATAGATCACTGTATGCGCAACTCAAGTTCTGATTGGTTTAGATCAGTCTCAAGCCTCTGAGTACCATCAAACGGGGTAAAAAGGGACAGGCGGGGTAAATCGGGATGCGTGTCCCACATTTCAGAGAAATGTTGTAGCAGCTAAACAGGCGTGGAATATATCTAGGTACTTGGCAAGCCGCGACTGAATTTTTCGAGCCGTGGTTTTATGGATTTACCAGCCATGATTCCATTTCTTTGAGCCGTGATTCCATTTCACCAAGCCGTGAATTCCATAGCTTGGCCATGAAAAGCCATTTACAAGGTGCAAATTTATTTACAAAGTCCATGCACATGTTACCTCAAATCTCTAATTTTACCCTAAAACAGTCAAATGGCAAAGATAAAATTTGTCTTTACTGTAAGTTGAGCATGTGTTATTGCAGTCTGACCGCTTTGACATGACCGCAACTATGTGCAATCTTCAACAAAAGTTTAGTTGATTTGTTTGCATTACAATGTTTATGTTTTTCTGCAGGATATTGTTGCGGGAACGGTAAAGCAATGCGGATTGCGGAAGTTGAAAATTTTATGAAGTGACATGTTTGCGAAGTGCAAACCGCGATTTTTCAACCAAACAAAAATTTATGACATTCGAGCCGCAAGATTTCATACCTACTGAAATTATATGATATTAGAGCTGTGATATATCAGACAAAAATAGGACTTTTCCAGCCCTGGCTAAACAAATCAAAATATTGCAAAACTAAAAATAGTGGCGTAAACTTCAACATTTTTACTATCTATTATGTATGAAGCTAGTCAAGAAATCAAACATTTACTATCTCTTAAAAATCGTTGAAAAAAAGTGTGAAAAGTGTGATTTTGGAAAAGTACCGTAAAATGGGGTAACTTAGACCGGCGGGGTAACTTAGACCACTTTTCGTTTTTTTAACAAAAACCCTCACAACTCAAAAACTATTTGACATAGAAAAATTTTGTCAATGGGCATTAAAGGCCTAATACTGAGGCTACATAACACAATAGAAAGATTTAAAAAGTTTGCATATCTAATAGGTTAAAAAATTAAAAATGTGACCCATGAAAAAAAGCTTTTATTTAAAGCCTGTCAGAATACCCCCTCCAATTTTTTTTATTTTTTGGTTAAATAACTCCAGGTTTTGATGCATTGTAGTAGAACTATTCTAGTTACATATGCAAATGACAAATTTTAGGAAAGTGTCATAGTTTGCAAATGGGGGGCGCTGCCCCCAAATGGGGTAACTTAGACCACCTAATGTCAGCCCTGATGGGGTAACATAGACCGGCTTGGAAGTTAATATAAAATTACCATATATAACATATTTTATGTTTGACAGCCTATTATGTTTTTTCTTAATGTTTCAGACTCTACAGAGTCTTATATATGGTAATTTCAACTTAATTTCCAAGCCAGTCAATATTTACCCTGTCAGGGCTGCCATTAGGAAGTCACATTTCCCTCATTCTGCGGCGGCGCCCCCCATTTGCGAACTATGACACTTTCCTCAAGTTTGTCATTTGCATATGTAACTAGAAGAGTTCTACTACTATGCACCAAAACCTGGAGTTATTTGGAGTTATTTTACCAAAAAATATAATTGATTTTACCACCCGGTCTAAGTTACCCCAAGAGCTGGGGTAACAAAGACCATCACTTTTTTTGAAATTACATAAAGACTATGAGAGGCAGGAGCCAGCAATTTATGGTGAGTGAAGCTAGAGTATAGACCTGTATTTTGCATGTTTCAATTCAAGTTTAATTTAGCTAGTAAAAAATGGCATCATTTATAAAGAAAAAGTGGTCTAAGTTACCCCATTTTATGGTACCTCTGATAAGGTCTGGAGCAAAAAATATTTGCCATATTGAAAATTTTTCTTACAGTAAAGTTGCACCCAGGTGTTGGCTTAAAAATGTAATTGACAGAATTTGCCTATCTCATTAAAAAAAAAAGGCAGCCATTGTCGCACAACGGGGTAAAAAGGGACACCCCCCGGGGACCGGGGTAATTAGAGACACCTTTAAAAATGCATTTACAGTAGAACCTCAGTTAGCAAAGGCTCCAGTTAACAAAGAAATTGATTAACAACAAAGAATTTTGAGTACATTTACCTCGCTCTGCGAAAAAAATTCACTTATCAAAAAATGAGTGCATCATAGGTTGTCACAAAATTGTACATAGAATGCCATATATAGAATTGTGCACCGGGCATCATAGAATGAAAAGTAATTGACCTAAACTATGATTTATTTCTTCAAAACATATGATGGTTGTCACTAAAATATTTTCTGTTTCAGGTACGTTTTTCACAATCTTTTTTGTTATAGTGAAATCACTAGGCTTGATTAAAATTGTGCAAAATTACAAACCATCCTGTAAGCTTACAGATACAGAAGAAATGCTACATGGCTGCTGATATGAAGCTTGCAGTGGACAAGGTCGTTGTCAATGCTCAATGGCATGTCCATGGATACAGTAATATCACATTAATAATACGGTAATTAATGAATATGGTAATATCATATAAATAAAGGAAAAACAAGTCGAAATCACAGAAAATGTCATTTATTTTACATCTACATCGTCTACAATGAAAGAGGAGGACTTCAGAGTACTGTTAGTAATGGATGAGTACACTCTGCATGCTTCAAATATTTGAAATTGAGTTTTATTTCATTGAGTTTTTATTTATTCCCTTTTTACCCCATTTCAAGATTAATTCAGGAGCCTTTTATATTGCATCTAGCACCTTACAAATAGCATATGGAATTTTTTTGAAGATGCCATTGGATAGCCCTCGCAAAGAGCTATAAAATGAGCCTAAATTTGTTTCTGAAATGTTTCATGGTAAGAAGTTACTAACAAAAAATGCTCAAAACCGTCCCTTTTTAACCTGTTTGATGGTATATATGAAATTTTCTTGTCATTCTCTAATTATGAAGATGATAAGATAGTGAAACTTGTTACATCTATTTGAAAAACATTTTATAATTTTTGCTCATTGTGACCTGTAAAAATATCAGCTGGAGTTTTGGATAAGTTTCATCCATATTCAATTTTTCTTATTATTTACATTTTCACACAACCCTCAAAAGCTCAAATCATGAAGGGATCAATTATGAAAGAATTGAGCAAGTGGCTTAAAAATGGCTGTAATTGAATGCAAGCACAGGATTTTTTGTCTCATTCACGAGTGGCTTCTTTCCAATTTTCCAGAGTGGCATGCTCATGAACAATATCAGCCACCTTGCCAAATTTCTTCTGTAAAAAAAAATTAAGAAAAAAAAACAAATTTTGCTAGCATTTTTTTGAAACTAATCCATAGAATCATATTTGCCTGCAAATTGTTGAAAATTAATTCCAAATATTGGATCTACATAACTCTCTACTCTAGGGCTTGCCAAGGGCTCTCATCTAATTGTTGAATTGTGATTTCCACAATTCACAAATTTTTGAAAATATCTCTCTACATAGTGGCAATTAAGAGACTTTATTAAGACTTTATTTATTATATTTCAGTTCATTTTAATTCCATTATTTCATTAAAAATTTTATTCACCATCTCTATGATACCGTAATGCCTGAAAATCATGTTACTTTGGTGGTCTATGTACACATAGGACTTGGTCACCCAGAGTCCTGATTTTGCCACTATTGATCAAAGGCCAAGGCACATTATCATATTGGTCTCTGTGTACCGCAGTTGGGACAACTTATAAACCCTCTTTTATTAAACTAAAGCCAAAAGTTATTTTACAGTTGCAAATTTTATACATTTTTTGTGCGTTGATGAATTTGTCCAATGCATAATAATTTCTATTTTTTTCAGGTAAAAGTTTCTAGTGTTAATCCTCATCATGAAGAGATCAATACCTGATGATGGCTTTTCAGAGCTTGAACACAGTGATCCATTCTCAAAGCGGGTGAGCATATGTCCTGGTTTTGATCTAAAGTATAATTGAATCCCATTAGTAAATAGTGTGTATTGCTAATTTTTATGTACCTACACACTGATTGAAGATCTTTGATCTCTTGCATAAATTGTCAAACTTAAGGCAATGCCTAACATTGCATGCAAGTTCAAACTGTAAATCATGCATTTTCATTGATGGTAATTGTCACTAAGAGTTCTGAATTACAATTCTTAAAATTATAGTGCAGTGCACTCACTTTGCATGTGTCTCTTGGGTGTGAGGCAAACATGTCACACAGTCATATGTTAGTTTTAGTCACAACATGACTAAAACATGTTACATGTTTTAGTTGGTAGGTTAGCAACAACCTTTTTGGGAAACGGATAATGATGAGAGTAAAATCATTCTTGTATTATTTTGGTACTGACAAATAAAACTGAATTTAGGATACAGTTCAATGAAATGGCTATTGGTTAGAATTTGAAACAAAGTATTGCAAAAGCATAGGTACTAATTGCAAGGAATAATTATCTACTTAAGGAGCTTGAACAAGATGCATATGGGATCTGACATTAAAAAGCAAAACATAAATTTTATGCATCCAAACCTTACACCATAAGTGAAGAAATGAGGTAAATGTAAAGTAAGTAGAAGCAATTACTTTTCAAAATTTTAATGTCATTATTGTTGGCATAATTTTTTAATGTTGCTTGATTCCTCCAATATAAGTGAAATGAGTAAAGTCAAACGTTCATGTCCAAACAGCCCATATATTTTCAGTGCCATGCTTCAAGGAAGCAAATCTGTATTCTCAAAATATATGCATGATAGATCACTAATATACTTTGAATCAAAAGTGTTACACACAATCTTCCATTTCAGAGTCGTAAGAAAAATGTGGATTTCTTGGGTGACCTCGCTGATGAAGGGGAAGTACAGCCCAAAGAAAATAAAAGAAAACTTGCTGCGGATAAAATCAAGAGAGATAAGAAGAATTTCCCTGGATTATCCACTAATGTTGTCAAATATATTCGAGGCAATGCTAATGAAAATCTTGAGAATCTCATCAACAAATATCTTAAAAAGGTGAAAACCCTGCTGTTGTATTGAAAAATTTTCACATAGATATTGATACAAATTTCTATAGATGATAATTACATCAAAATATTCCCTTGACATATATAATTTTTATAAAGCCAGGGTTTTTGCTTTGAAACTTGTGAATTACTCTGATTCTATGGCTGCCACTTAATTTGCCAATGATATTTTTGCTTCAAAGAAATGAATGATTGAAAATCCTTGGCAGGTGTATAAACAATTAATTATTTATTGAATTAAACTATTTATGAAGCCAAATTTTTCTTTGTAAACTAGTTGCAATTTCTTTGTTTCTCTATGTAATGAATGGATTTATTTCTATTCATGCACATTCATCTCATATTCATATCATGAAACTGGAACCATGTTTGGAATATCACAATGTAATGAAAAAAGCATTTTAATGTATAAATATTTTGAATTGTATTTTACAGCACAAAATATCAATGATAGATGATATCCGGACTGAAGTGGATGCCAACATTAAGGCTCAAAAAGGTAAATGTACCTGCATATAAACCACATTAGAGAGCAAATAATTGTCATGTGGCAACTTGGAAAACAAATCAGTGATATAAAATTATTTGTGCCATGTTCTCTGATATTGCTATCCTTGAAATTGTTGTAATATAAATATAAGTATTAAATAATATGTAACAAAATATAAATATGAACTTTGCATCTAAAGGTTTTATGTCAGCAGTTAATCTCAAGTATCTTTATCATGTTCTTAAATATTGATTTTTAATAGATTTGCATTGTTAAAATTAGCATTTAAATAGTAATTGACTTATTTTTAAACGATTCTAGCTTAAAAATTTCCATCTGTGGTGCAATTTGAATAAGCTTTTTGGCCTCATGTTAACTGTTTGCTCTTGGATCAGGAGCTGTGCGTGTCAAGCTCTCAGAGATGCAGCGTCTGGAACGTCTCAAGAGGATGCAGCAAATCGCTCCGAAGCTGGACGAAGAACAGAAGAATATAGAAGAATATTTCAAGGACAGTGCACCTATAGATACTTCACTCACTTTTGAATCCATGCATCTTCATGAAAAACTAATGCTGGTCAGCTTTCTTTGTTTAACATATTATGTCAGCGTCTCCTAAGATTTTGTTTTTAAGCCTAATAATTTCCAGGCTCAGATTCCACTCTACACACATCTGTGTTTGATTGTATGAACTCTGAACAGTTTTGTATTGAATTTCGCCATTAAAGAAATGCCAGCAAAACCAAGAATTTTTGGGATCATTCAAGGAAAATTTTGCTGTTAACCTGATTTAGTTTGTAATGCATTTCTTTAAGTAAATACTTTGGACATGATGCATTTTTTTTATGCATTAGTTCCACTTTGTAGAAACTATGCATTTATATGTTCTAAAAATTGAATAATTTTGTACTAATTCTACTTAATTGAATTTTAAATTTATTTTTAAAGGTTAAACCTTATAAATTCAAACCCTCGTGTCTTATTGTTGAGTTCTTTGTTCTGTTGCCCAGGCTATCAAGAAGATGGATTACACCTCACCCACCCCCATCCAGTCTGCCACCATCCCCGTGGCCATGGCTGGCAAAGATGTGTGTGGCTGCGCGGCCACAGGTGGGCACAATTTAGAAAAAAATGATAGAATTTAGAAAAAAATATAACTCAGTACTCACTGCAGTGAGTGACAGAGAGCACATTTTCTCGTCGACGAAAACTTGAGGTCACGGACGGACGGACATGGCGAGCACAATAGTGCTTTTTTTCCATAAATGAGAAAATGCGCTAAAAATGATAGAATTTAGAAAAAAATCATAGTTATTGTCACCCCTTGTTTGATATTTAGGCTGATAAGTTCATGGTTTTGGATTTTTTCGCTACACATCAGTTTTTTCGTCTCAACAATGTCAGAGAAAGCTCATTAGCATATGTGGGAGCTTGTGGGCTTCTGTCATAACTTCTCTTTAGATGAGAACTTATTCATTCAATATCAGGGTTGTACAAAATCCAATATTTCAAATTGCTCGACTGGCCTAGCTTTTATTGAGAATTAGAACAGTTATATGTGGCTTATAATAATTGAATTTATATTAATTTCCATCCAAAAGAATTTCGTCATTCTTTTTGTAGAGATTATCATCAAATATTCTCAACATACATAAATACAATTATTGCTCAAAAAGTGTGTTTCATCTAGACATCGATGAAATGGAAACTATTGATCGCAACGAGCCTAAATAATGGTTGTAATTTAAAGCTTCTGCAGCAAAGTAACTATGCAATTCTGAAGAAGGAAAATCTAGCGTAAACATTGTAATGCCGAAATAAACTCAAACATTTGCTCAATTTACATTTAGTTGTCTGTGAAACCTTCCTTTTGATTTCATGTGTCAACAACTTCAGGTTTTAATGTCAAAAACAACTGCCTGGTTAGTTATTTGGGCAGCTCTCCGGGGCAGATACCTAGTACAACCCTGTTCAATATCAGAAACATTAATGTTTCTAGATATCTATTAATCTATTATGCCATTATATTATGAGTCTCATTCGTCTAAATTCGGTTACTACTTCTCTGATATTAACCACCCGTCCTCAGGCACTGGCAAGACCGCCGCCTACCTACTGCCGGTGCTAGAGCGGCTACTGCAGCTCGAGGAGAACCCAGTGAAGGCGACTCGTGTTCTGGTCCTGGTGCCTACCAGAGAGTTAGGTGTGCAGGTATGTGCTTTAGCTTCGCCATGTGCTTGTGTTCTGTATGTGCATCAGTTCATGATAGCTATTTCTTATGCACTCTTGCTGCCTAAATTACGACGTGTGAAACGCATAAAAAATGGTGAGGCTCTTATCCACCCAGTAGCATAAGGGATATATTACTCCTGCTGTTCACTTGTGAAAGACAGCTACGAGTATGAACCTCGCTCAGGCTGTCCACTTATTGCATTGTCTTCTCTTATTCCATTTTTATCATTTGTTATTTAAGGCTCTAATGTATTTATCGAAAACTACATATTTAATTTAACATATTTAAACATATTTAGCTCATGCATTCAAGTAATTTTCATTGAATGGCGAAATAGCATACAAATGCAAAATTATTTGAGTAGGAAAATTAGTTGCGACGCAACCTGATTAAATGGCTTTTTACTTCATTTTTTGTGCAATGGATAATTGTTATTTATGGTTTATTGTTCGTGATATTGAGAAATTGAGGCTCTGCTACACGCCCGTTATTTGCACAGGTGTTTGAGGTGTGCCGCAACCTGACGAAGTACACAACCATCACGAGCGTGCTGGTGGCTGCTGGCATGCGCAGTAATGTACAATGGAAGGAAGTACTTGAGAGGCCCGACATCATCATCGCCACGCCCGGCCAACTACTTAAGGGCTTCGCTCATCTCAAGGACTTCACTCTGGAGCATGTCGAGGTGCGGTAGTGGCTGCACCTGTCTCTTATACACATCTAGATGTGTATAAGAGACAGGTAGATACAGTAGCAGCGGCCGTTGGTAGACAGTAGATACAGTAGCAGCGGCCGTTGTTAGCCACGACTCGGCACACAACACCAGACCGAGCACGAGGTAGGCCTGTTTGGTACGGCAGATCTCTTAGGCCGTATGCGGTTACGGGAAATTTGAACTCTGGGCCATAAAAATGTCGCCTAAAATGCATCCTTAAAAAAAATTTTAAGGATGGTTTTAGTGGCTGTCATTTAATTTCCTAAATTACGCTCCCGTAAGTCCTCCGCTTAGACCTCTTTTCAGCACGCTGCCTAGTGCCTAATGTAGTGATAGCAGCCCAGGAACTGCTCAAGAATCAATTATTTATTCCTGAAAAATTTGTTTGTTTTGCGCGTAAATAATCACGCTCTTCAAATAATCCCCCCATTTTACATTAATTCTAAACCTACGTCTATTTTTTACGTTATTAAATCGATTAATCTTCGTTCAGTTGTGATAAGATATCATCGACAGCACGGCTCAGAATTAGATAAATCGCGTTCATATAATTCTAACACAATATCCGTTCTTACTTCTCGATGTACATTTTACTTTACTTGTGAAGAAGGCTTCTTAAAAACGTGTTCTACACTCTGGCCTCCCAAATATTGAAGCTTCTGTCTTTAGCATACGCAACCGTAATTAAACTCAGCGCTGGCAAAAGTCTACACATATCGGTGACTGTGGAACAAATCGGTGACTGTGGAACAAATCGGTGACTGTGGAACAAATCGGTGACTGTGGAGCAAATCGGTGACTGTGGAAGTGACTGTGGAACAAATCTTGACGAGGGTCTGGTGAAGGGACGCCCCTATGGAGCAAATCTGTGACTGTGGAACAAATCTTGACGAGGGTCTGGTGAAGGGACGCCCCTATGGAGCAAATCTGTGACTGTGGAGCAAACCTTCACGAGGCTCTCGTGAAGGGACGCCCCTAAGAAGCAAAAGTGTGACTGTGGAGCAAATCTTGACGAGGCTCTGGTGAAGGGACGCCCCTATAGTAACGGACGAGCAACCTGCTCCTTCCTCGTGCCATCTTCTGCAGGCCGCAGCAGCTTTCCTGCGGCGCTGTGCGTTAGGTCAAGGCCGGCGGAGGGAGGCTTGTGGACTCAGAGATCCATACTGCTCGATCTTTACAAGCACGGGCTTATCTATTCTCATTGTTAGATGTAATACTTGGGAACCCAACATGTTTTCACCATTACCATGGGTGTCAAAGTCTCTTTAGATACACAATTTTAGTCAATCTGCATAAATTAATTAATATAAAATTAAAATTGAATAATGTTTTACCGGTAGTGCATACTGTGCGTTATTTTCAATTGCGTATCAACTTTATTTATTTTGAGCTGGAGGAGGCCGTGCAGCTAAATGCAGCTACATGAAACTGAACGCGACGGCTCATTAATCTCACTTTATGTGAGATGAATGACTAAAATTTAACTTTTCAATGCAATAATCATCTAGCGAACAATTATCTATGCGTCATAATAGTAGGTTTTGTTCTTCATTGCTAGTGAATGATACACTAATGCAGGTGATGGTTCGTGTTACACGTTTGATACCATCGACAGTTACGGGCGCGCGAGCCTCTCCTGCCAGAAGACTCCAATCGCCTAAGATATTCGATGGAAAACTTTTTAATGCGAAATGTGGCCGTTATTAACGAATTATAGAAGCTTTTGAGAGTCGCCCAACAGGCCTGCTGGTCACTTTCGGGACGTTTTTGCGTCTAAATACAAGATTTAAGATTGTTATGTAGGAAATTATCATAGCGTGATTAGGACGTTGGGTCTGTTAAACTTTCCGTCTGCATTTAATTTCGCACGCGTAAAAGAAAAAAACGTTCGACGCAATGTCCCTCACCGACCAATACGACCCTTATGGGTCGTATGGGACCAATACGACCCTTATGGGGTCGTATTGGTCCTTACGACCCATCTAACGCAGGTAAATTTCTTAGCCTATATAATGAGCTAAGAATTTGTTAAATCATAAGGAAATGGGAAGCGATACTCAAACAATGTTGATAATTAACGGCTACAACCTGTCCAAGTTCTGCTCGAATATTGATTTCAGTCCAAATTTATCTCAGCCTGAAACTCATCGTTTTATTTACTATAGAAATTTTTCCAGAACTTGGTTTTGAAATTTGTGCAATTTTTTGCCCCCAAAGTAGCATGCTAGACTAAATTTTTTGTCTGTGCGTGACTGAGTGTTTTTGAAGGACGGCGGTTTAGTCCTTGCAGTTTCATGCGCTATCATATTATACCTTCATATTTTGACCATCGTATGTGCAGATGTAATTTAGCGCGCATGTAATTTTGCACCATTAGACCATGCAATCAGAGTTAAGATCGTTGCCTTGCTACTTCGTCATCTGATCCCTCATGTCTGGCAGGACAGATGCTCGCTCAAATTTATGTTATCCTTGAATATATTTGTTGCTTTGAGAAATATCAATTTAAATAACTGTATTGTTTAAGCTTGTTTTTTTTATTTAAATGTGGAATACATATAGAGAGATTTAGGGTACCGATAACCACGAAAAACTTGAAAGGTAAAGTTCTTGCATATATAAACCAAGACTCGCGCGGTCGATCAATATTTTTAAACTACATATGCAGCGGGCAGACGCGTTTACACAGATGCTGCTCGACCTTCAATACATCTGTTCCTGTACTGCATGCTGCCTCTGCCTCCATCGTTAATATCATCGACTCAAAGATTATGTACAATATCATCAATTGTGTTGTCACTAGTAAATTTTTTCACATTAGTAGATAAAGTCTCGTGTAAGAGATTTGTTGTTTGAGCAACGTTGACAGATATTTTAAAAGTATATTACGGGACTAGTCACGCGGCAAATTTTCCTTTGTAATATTGCTGCAAGGAATCCACCATGACTCGGGTTCTGATATTTTACTAAATTTTTTCCCAATTTTCTACTTTATATTTTATTATATAAACCATTTATTCATTAGAAGCATTTAGCGTTTCATCAATGAATTTAGAATGTGGTTCTAATCTTCTTTGGTAGCTCGACGCTGTTTAACGATCTGTCAATAACAAAGTTGCGCTTCTATGATTGCGATGTCTCAGCTAGTGAACAAGCGGCTCCGAGTAAAGGAAATAAGATCGATAGAATATTTTTAGAATCCTCCTTTTGAACAGGAGGTCTTTTTCCCGTTAGTCACGCAACGAGGGAACGGTGAAGCGAAGGAAACTTGTTTTCCTGGTAGCAATGCACTTTTATACACATTATTGAATTTATTGTACCCCTGTTGAAAATCATAGCCACCGCAGCACCGCTTGGCCGACGGTCACCCATCGGCGGTTCCTAAATTTCCTGAGATATAATTATTTGTAAGGAAGGCATGTAATTAAGGAGGACTTGCATGATGTCAGGGTTGGCAATGATTAAATCAAAATGATTAAATCATGTGATTAAATCACATGATTTTTTTATAAAAAAATCATGATTTTTTTGATTTTTTCGATTTATTTGATTTTTTTGATTTTTTCATATATTTAAAAATATTGAGTGGCAGTCTTTAATTTATATTGAGGTATTGTTATTCATGGTTTAGTATAAATGTACTATGAATGACAAATTGGTATATAAACTTGTTGCCTTTAGTGTGTATTAGGTTCCAATAAATGGAATGGTTTTGGTACAGAGGCATCAAGAGTACAATACGTTGTACGTAGCTAGCAGCTTAGCTAATTCTTATAAGGCTATAAGTAGTCTTTAAAGCTATTTGACTATTTGTTATATATTGATTACAATATACAATTTAAATGTGTTAGCTAGCTTATAGATCTATTGATAGTGCTGTGCACTGTGCTATCAGCTACCTATCTGTTATGTGACTCTTCAATGTTTAGAAGATCTGCATTCCTGAAGTGTTTTTGTATATTGAAGCCAGTTAAATGGTCAATATTTAGCTCCATTACCTTGCTCCATATAAACTTTACAAAGCTAATGAATAGACTTATCAATAATTGTTTACCCAAAAATCCCTAAGTGGTAAACAAAACCTTGGCCTGTTGGCCATTATTGAAGGCAATAAGTGCCCTTTCTAGCCATCCATTATGATCCACATACTGTTATTGTCAGTAGGCTAATTTCAACATAAAAAACAACACTTCAAAAAGACAAAAAAGGTGAAAAAATCAAAAAAATCAAATAAATCAAAAAAAATAATGAAAAAATCAAAAAAATCATTGATTTTTGATTTTTTAAAAAAAATCAAAAAAATCGCCAACCCTGCATGATGTTGATGTCCTATTTAAATATTTTCTCTACCTCCCCTGATTAAGATGATTTCGCTTCTAAATGATGTTTTTGTTTATGATCCTACAAATTACGGTCATATTGAAGTTACTTAGTAAATACTGTCAAGGCGCAGGCATAGCTAACGTGCAGTTTTCGGGTGAGCTTGAATGCTTTTCTTCATATACTGTAACGCAAAACAAACTTGCTGCTTTCTATACAGTTCATCACGAGTCTTCGGTTCTGTCTTTACACATTGTTGCTGTTTTTAGCCTATGGATTTTACTCTTAATGCTAATATCGTTATTTTAATTTTTTTTTGTTGGGGGGCGGGAGGGCTTGTAATATAATTCAACAAATACTATACTACGTTCAGTGCAACAGGTGATCATCAAAAGGTAAGCCCGTTTACTCCAAAAGTGTAATAGTGTGATCGCGTTGCTTTGCTTCACGCTTCTTCATACATCAATGTACGTGTGGTTAAGAAACTGCATTCACGCGTTGATCATTTTCTTGCATACCTGTGGTGAGTGTGAGCACGGTGAGTGGGACTGGTGAGTGGGGTGAACACGCGGAGTGGGACTGGTGAGTGGGGTGAGCGCGCGGAGTGGGATTAGAGAGTGTGGCAAGCTACTGGAGTGAGTGTGTATGAG